TTGAGGCCTGGAATTGAAGACCAACAGGGGCAATAAAGTGAGACATCATCTCTTCAAAAAACTAGCCAGGCATGGTGGCAAGCACCTGTAGTCCCAGCTGCTCGGAGGCTGAGGCGGAAGGGTCTCCTGAGCTTGGGATGTTGAGGCTACCATGAACCACAAGTGTGCCACTGCACACCAGCCTGGGCAAGAGTAAAACATGACTCAAAAAAAGAAAAGAATAAATAAAATAAAATAAAATTTAAAAAGGGAAGGGTCTGACTTAAATTAGGTTCTATATCTGGTATTTGTGCAAATAAAGGATTCAAACTTGTTCAGTTCTGATTGGTCATAATAGTCAAGCCCTGACTGGGTAGATTCCAACCCTCAAATCAGAGTCTCTGTTCTTTCAAGCAGCTAGTTTCTGTCCTCAGTTTATCTTGGCTCTGGTTACAGAATTGTTCTGGATGTCAAGGATGTAAAGCAGGTTGTTTCTCAAGAGCTGCTTTCCCTGGGAACCCAGGGTGCTGCATGACTACTCTTTCTCAACCTGCTCTGGCCACCTAATTCTGCTTTTAAATTCAGAGCATCTCCACTAGCCACGGGTAGTCCATCTCGTCTGGAGAGTTTGTGTCGGTGACCAGCACTGACCAAGGGTGGGTTAGGACCCGCACCAGAGAATCTGGACAGCGAGAAGAGACTACTCGGAGGCAGTTCTTCTGGGAACAGTCTGATCAGGACTGAAGCCAAATTTTATTCGGACTCCTTCCAACTTATATACCATTTTCTATACCCTCCAGCAGTGTGATAATCACTTACTGGGGGCGTACAAGTTCCGTGCTTTACAAACTATGCATCACAAGACCACCACGAGATCTGCAATTTCCAAGCAAACAATTCAAACTCCATGATGTCTGTCGTGCTTACATTAAGGTCACAGGTGCACAATTTCAATACAAATCGTTCAAAGTGTTTTCCATAATGCTCAATGAATCATTCATATTATACTCTTTGTTCTAAACCCTGATTAATACAAAAAACTTTTCTAAGTTAACTCTAGGTTCAATCCAAGTTCACTGACTCCCAATATTTTTAACGATTAATATTATCAACTTAACACTATACTATAATCTATAAGTTTAGTTAAATGACTTAACTGTCAGTTATACTATTAACCTATTATGATTTAACGTAATGCCTTATAACTCAGTTAAAACTTATTCTTAAACTACAAAACTTTACTATAATTCATATGTTTCATATGTCTAAACTTTAATTTTTATATGATCTAGTGATTGGACTTTAATACTATGCTATATCCTATTAAGCTAATACCTCATCATTAATTCTTTTATAAATCGTATAGTAATTATTATATTTGAATAATGTAGCAAAAGGAAACAAAACAGCAAGCATAAATTTACGCAACTATGAGTGTATATGTATATATTTTATCCTAACAAGTCTACTCTAAAAATCAAATAGTAGCTGTCACACTCTTGAACAAGGAAATGCAGGGCTGCCAAGATGGCGGCCATGGGCTGAAGCAGACAGAGTTTCGGTAATTAACGAAACAAAAGAAAACGTTCTACCTGGCTAGGGGCAGGGTGACAAAACTATCATGGTAATTTAGTTTCTAATCTTAGCCCTAGGGGAAATAGCTTTCCAAAGCTGACTAACCAGTCTACCAGGAAATAGAAGTTAAAAAATATCTAGAAAGAAGTAAAAACTTAGAAAGACAGAGAGAAATAATTCTGCTATGCACCTTCCATCAGATGTATTGAGATTTACTTATAAGTTTTACTGCCATGTATGCACACTGGTCACTAATCACACGCCAATATTATAGGTATAACTGATATCCTATGTCAGAGGCGATCTTCCAGATGGGCCTTTACAGGCCTCAGCCATGTAGCTATAGATGTTGGCTCCCAACAAGTTTGAGTCCCTATTATTTCACACAGCTATAGTTCACTCACTTTAACTGAAGTATACTATTTTATTGCATAATATACCACAACGTGTAACAACCATTTTGGTTATTTCCATTTTCAGCTTCCAAAATAATGCTGTATTAATCATTTTGATTCATCATGCACATGCATACCCAAACTGAATCAGGTGGAAATGCTGGGTCATAAGGTATACCTGTCTTTTAGGAGGCAGCACTTTTTTTTTAGTTAAAAAAATTTTTAAGCCGGGCTTGGTGGCTCAGCCTGTAATCCCGTGCCTTTGGGAGGCTGAGGTGAGTGGATTGCCTGAGCCGTGGGTTCGAGACACACCTGGGCAGGCGAGACCTCATCTCTACAATAGATCAAAAACTCAGCTGGGCGTGGTAGCGCATGCCTATAATTCTGGCTACTTGGAAGGCTGAGGCGGAAGGATTGCCGGAGCCCAGCAGGTCGAGGCTGCAGTGGCTGGAAGCGGCCACTGCACTCTAGTCCCTGGGCGACAGAGTGAGAC